CCGCCTTTGGACTTTTTAAAACTGTAAAAGTGGAAACCTGTCAAGCTCTCATGAAATATCAGCTGTCAGAGGCAGGAACAGAGTCTGAGACAGCAAACAATCACTAAAAACTAGGAAAAAAGTCAGCTAAGTTTTATCTCCAATGAACTAGATGCAGCCAGTACTGGGCTTGTTTTGAAGACATTTTTAAATGAGTGGTTTAGAGACTTAATCTACACTAAATTCAGGTAAACTTAGTAATTTCACATGTTGTGGTGTTATATCAAAAACTATCTCATTTTTTATACTTCATATTGGTAATCCAGATAATATGTTTCTTATTTTTTTTAAAAAGCTACTAAGCAGTATGTTTAAGATGTGTCTTTGTTAGTAAAAAAAAATCTCATATTTATAAACAATGCATATGCATTTAATGTGCTGTTCCTCTCGGTCTAATCTTTGCATCCTCCTCCTAATCTGGCTAACATGATTTCTTGAAAACGTAAGAGAAATGTGTTTTGCCACCCCCTAAACATAACCGGTGTTTGAAGTGTTCATAACTGCTGGTTATGAGAGCTGGCTGATAACAGGACTAAACGGGGATTTCCTGTCATTGGAGTGACAGGGACAGTCAACACTAGCTCAGGAAGGTTGAGGTGAGATGGAGTTTGAATGTTAGGCATATCCTTTATCAAATATGAACAGGAGTTTAAAAATCTCATTATGAACATGGGGTGTTTGTTTCAATCAAAATAAGCAGGACTAATACAGTGAGTATACTGACACTGAAGTCTCATCACTAAAGTAGATAATCACATAGATCATTAAAAACACCTCCCTCACAGGGTAACCTGGGTTAAATGTGATGTGTTCTTGCTTAACGTGGCTTGGTACACAGTTAATACTCAATAAATGTCAGCTATGATCAGATGCTTTCAAGAATTATTAGTTTCACCTTATAAAGTTATAAAGTTATTATATTCTCCTAGTCAGCACCTTATAAAAATGTCAAACTCATATAGGAACTCCCTTATTTTGATCCTTTCACCCTCAATCACCATAACAAATTACAATGAAAACTGGAGGCTCAGTAGGGAATGTGGCACCAGTAGGTGTCTGGGCTCATCTGTATGATTTATGATTTTTCTCTTAAAACTTCTAAGCATATTGTTACAGTGTTTCGTTTATTTTTCTTTAATAAGAAATGATTTCTGAAATGTATTGCAGGCGAACAAATAACTGACAAATGTGGAAGTATTTTACAGTTATCTGAACACAAGAATAAGGTCTGATGACTTTCGGGGAGCTTTTTCCTATACCGAGCTCCTCTTACATGTGCAGAACCATTTGTTCTAATCACACGCTGTCTTCTGGCTGTGCTTTATCATTCTCTATAAATTCACTAAATGGAGCATTCCTATTTCATCGTTCAGACTCAGTGAATCTTACTGTGGTATTAGTAAAAGGAAAAGAAAACAAATGTTAAGCCCCAGATATTTTTGTTTATATCACTAAGCATCATTTCCAATTCAAAAATATTTTTTAATGTATGCCTTTGGAGTATACGCTTTAAACTGTCCAATTACATAAAGCTTGTCATTTGGCTACACAGAGTTGGAGAGGAATGGAACAGGTTGCAGGGGATATACTAGTACAAAATTAAACTGTATCCTTTAAAACCAAAAGAAACACACAATGCCTTTCTAGTTCACATCGCCTATTTGACTTTACAGCCTACTGATAAACACCGATTTAAACAATTGTATATAAAATTAAATAACGTGGAAAAATAAATTATACTTTATTATATAAACACATTGAAATCTGTACTGCTCAAAATATTCAGATAATACCATGCTTGGCTGCTTAAAGCTGTATTCAGAAAATATGGTAGAGATGTTTACAATCTTTATTATTTTGCTAGAGAGAGATTCAGTGAAGTGATAAAATAGCTGATGTCAAACATTTCCTCCTTCTACCTACAGGAGCTGCAAACTTTAATATGAAAATGAGGTAGACAAAATTCATAAGTTGGCCACGCAGAAACAAAAGCACAGCTCCTTCATAAATTCTCATTGTTCGGGTTGACAAACATTATTCCACATCACCTAACGCAAGGCTCAGAGACTGCTGTTTAGGTTTGTCATGGAAAACACGAACGAGCAATTTCTCCTAGGCAAGAACAGTAGGCAAGATGGCCAGCCAGCAGATACACGGAGCACGGCGAAAGAGGGGTGCAATGGGACCAGCTTGCAGGGGTGACCTCACTCACCTAGCCCCCGTTTTCACTTTAATTATCTGATGAGTCAGCTGACTCCAGAAGGCTGCAGGTTTTTAACCTACTTTGGGCTGCGTTTGATAGTACAGAGCCCTCTTTCCAATGCACCCCTCTAGTCAGGGGCGTGTGTACTCACTACAGTCCGCAGCTGGGCGGCTGCAGGAACCACCCAAAGGCCTACCAGTGGAAGAACCTGATTTCAGTAACAAAACAGTACCGACTAAGAGTGCAAGGACACGTGAAAAGGTGGACAGAGAAGGCTGAATTTTTGGAGGGTGTTTCTTATAATCATGACTTAGTCCACAGTGACTTGAGGCAGAACTAAGGGTCTAGAACAGGTTTGAACCCTATGTTTACGGGAGCTTCCTTTTAGAGACTGAAGCCATGCTAACAGTCATTTGGAGTTTCTTTCCTAAATATTGCTCCTTAGTTGAAATTGATTTACGGGCTGTCTCCATGTTGGCCTTGGGAAGGCCTACTTGCTCAGGGGCCACTGCTTCTGGACACCACCTCCAGCATGGGAGTGCGTGGGGACAGACGAGAAAGCAAGTGGCCGAAGGACTGTTACCCTTGGTCTCTCAGAAACCTAGTGTGCTTTCCTTTGAAAGCAACTTGCTAGCACCTCAAATGTACTTTTTGTTGTTAATTTCACTGTCAGTTACAATGGTGGAGCACCATTGGAGTGGCTTTATGGCTAATAACACAATTCACTGAGGTATGCTTAAATTAAGAATTACTATGAAATTGTACCAAAGCATCCATAAAAATCAATAAAAGTAAAACAAAAATCCTACCCTAAGAATCTAAAAGACTTACAGATATTTAAGTAATATATTACAAATGTATATATTTAAATAAAATGCTTTTGATTTAAATTTTTAAAAACCACAGTTAAAAGCCTTGCAGGAGTGGGCTTGCTCCTAGACTGCAGAGGTATTTAAATATATATTTGAATAATGATCACTTTACAAAGGAAGCACTAAAATCAGAAGCAGCAAAATGTGTGTAACAGAGGATGAAAATCTCTGTTTTTCTCTCTATGTGTTTCAGAAAACTCTTTGTAGGCCCAAGAAGAACAACTATAGTAAAAATAATGTAAAGTATTCAGTTAAATTAAATAGCAGATCATAATTTTAAAATTTAAGCACTTAAGCTCTTAAAATATGTGGGGGAGGGTGGTGATCCTGTGTAAAAAAGTTTGAGCTGAATTTAGAAAGGATTCTAAGAAGAGAACGCTATGGGAAATCAATATATGTTATATAGTGTATCACAGGGTAAACCTACGTTTGCCTGACCCTGTATATATACTATACAATATATATTACATTATTGTATTATAGTGGGTATACACACAGACACACACCCTCTGACGTTTAGATGTTTTTTGGTCAAATAAAAGAAACACAACTTATTAGAGGGCTAGCAGATTTTTTGAAACATAACTTGGCTGCGGTGGCGTGGGCTGAACAAACAGGGTGTAAATATACGGGCCCAAGAGGGAGAATTTCATGAGGAATAATATGTGATGGTGACTTGGGGAAGTTAAGAATGCCAGAGGATGTGCCTGGCATTCTAAGCACATTCCTACGTGCCAGTACTGCGGGCGAGATGCTCCAGGTGAAATGTACGTCTGATTCTGGCACTTCTAAGCTCTTCAGCAAAATCCTCACAGCCCAGGGGATAGCGCCCGTTGAGATGGCACGCTGAACGCCTCTAGAGTCCTACTTACTACAAGGTGCAGTGGTTATATCACTGTGTTCAACCTGGGACACGGCAACCTTGACTTAGAAGCGTCAACAGGTAGGAGCCATGTCACGTCAGTTAATCTGCTCTTTAGCTGGTTCCAGGAATAGTTACTACTCCTAGAACCATATGAAAAAAATTCTGGGTATGACCTAATATATTGTCATTTCAGCTTCGGTGCAATTAATGTGTTTACAGGAATGTTTAGTACATTTACTTGAAACGGCCCTAATGGCTCCACAAGTTACGGCACAACTTCGCCAGCGGATTGTTTTGACAGAGCTGATCCTTCTGTTTGCCAAGAGCTGCCCCGGACTTCTGCCCAGTGCGGAGCGGCAAGGCAGTCTCACCGTGCCCGCTAAGCGCTTAGCAAAGGAAGCCTAGGTCCAAAGCAAAAAATGGTCTCGAATGGGCTTTGTGTCTTCGTGGAAGAAAGAGAACATTTCAGACACGGTGAAAAGCACCAGGTCACGGAGTCCATGTTGCTCTTTTGCATTTCCAAATGACTTCAGTCTATTTTATGGGCACAACCTTTGAGGTGACTGTGGTGGGAGGTGTACCTGAGTCACTGCAGAAAACATTGCTTTGGCCTCAATAAGCAGGCATTTTCCCCAAAGTCAAAACCACCATAGCTAAGGAAAGGAAGGCCCGCCTGCTAGTGAGCTGTCTGTGTAAATCAGTTTGGAGCTGACCAACTACCTTAAGTTACTTAGTTCGTTTCTTTTAAAAAATCCAAACGTACCTCATCTAGTTCTTCTAGGGAAGGAAGCTACTCCCTGGCAGGAGGCACATGCATTCTTCAGCGTACCTTTGGCAACCTCACACAAAGCCATTCTGTTGGGTATCGATATGAAGAAAACAACAGCCCGCTTATCGCCAGGGAATGAATGTCCTTGTGAGCATGACAACCGCCTGCCGCAGAGGAGGGCCTCAGAACGCCGCGGAATTGGGTGTATAGCTAGACAGTCTGGCTAACGAACATTAAGAGTTAGGGCCGTACCGAACTCCAAGGGCCGGTGCTCCATGCCGCGTCTTGGGGACAAGCGTGCGGGTTACACCGCTCCCGGTCCGGAGGCTTGTCCAGAATTTCACAGCTCAGATCTGGAAAGCGCTCCCCGCTGGGCCGCTGACAGACCACCAGCCTGGTTCGCAGGCCTCCGCCACAGAGCTTAGAACACTGCACAGAGGCAAAGGGAGGCGACAGTTAGCTGTCTGAACAGCCAATGGCAAACTTTCTTTTCCCATAAGAAGTTTTTCTCAGCCAAACTCTACCCTGGCACAGGGCAAGCAAGCCTCTGGACAAAAGCACTCTGACTTATCCACAGCACACCTACAACACACTGGCGCCTTCTGGCTCAGCGGGGGACCGCTTACCCAGGGCTTTGTCTCCCCCTGCTCGGAAGCTCTCAGAGACATGATCTCACCCTGAGGAGAGAATAATCATTTGCCCTATTTCACATGTGGGGCAACTAAGCTTAAGAGAGGTTAATTAATCTGTTAAGGTACATTTCATAGCAAGAGTTTAGACTAAGATTACAGTGTAAAACCAAACATCAAATATGCGAAACACCACACAGTTCCACCTAAAGGAAATACTAATGACTTGGCAAGTTTGACTTCCTGGCAACCTCTCAGAAGCTGCGCCAACCTCTGGCTGTTCTGGGATGCCAATCTTTACGAGAAGCTATTTTACGTTATCTCCCAATCTTAGCACCACTCTGACCCTCCCCGAGGATGAACACCCAGCATGACGGGTTGCTGGATCGGGTTCTGACTCCTGGCTGGATGCGAACTTCCGAGGCAGAGACGAGATGTGTTTCTTGGAGGGAACCCCTGTGCTCACTTCCAGGAACACGGACGGGCGGCCTCCCTGCTGTGCCAGGGCCAGATCTCCCGCAGAATCCGGATGATCTGGTCCGTGCTGACAGCAAGCATCCCGCCAATGCCTGCCCTCTCCTGGCTCCAGTCCAATGACAGAAGCTTAATCATGGGCCCCACAGGACACAGCTTTTGAGGAGTTTTGGGAAAACCATGATACACGACTCTCAAAGCCTGACTCCCCCTTCCTGCCTTTCAGCCAAGCCCTCCAGAATGACGCACTGTCAACGAAAGTCAACAGAAACCTCCATGTGACTGCCCAGGACTACTGGGCTGCGTGCGTGAAACTGTGACATGTGGACACGATTCCCGTTAGCCAGGGGCACTAGTGGGCCCAACCACTTCATTTGCCTCCCCACCACCCCCTTGGCACTGGGGTCTCCAAGATGTTAATCCTCATGTTTTATTTTATAAACTAGAGGCCCAATGCATGAAATTCGTGCAAGAGTAGGCCTTCCTTCCCCCGGCTGCCAGCACCGGCTTCCTCCGGCACCCGGGACCCGGGCTTCCCTCGCAGCCTTGGCTTCATCCAAAAGGTTGTCCTAATTAGCATATTACACTTTTATTATTATAAATTGTACAGTCAAGACAGAAACACTCAAGAAGCTTTAAATATGTGATTTCTCTGTAAATTCAAAAGTAGAGAGATATCTTCTTGGTTAGTTAAACACAAAACAATAACTATATAAGCCTTACATGCAATAGTGGTCGAAAGCCCATTTAATAATGATAGTAATGCTAATCATAATAATAATTATTACTACTACTAATAACTTGTATCATAGCAGTTGACTTTGATTGAAGGCTATGTGCTAGGCATTTGACATGCACTCTCTCAAATAACAGTCATGATTATTATGAAGTTGATGCCATTATCATTCCCATGTTTAGAAGAGGATACAGATGTTTGGCAACGTTACAAGGCTGGGACTGGTACCCAGTTTTCTCTGGTCCAAATACTCTATCGTCTTTCATCAGTCATAGCAGGCAACTCTTTAGAAAGGTCTAAAAGGTAACAGCTGAAGAATTTCATTATTTGAGAATACAGCTAATTATTCACTCCCATGTTTAAAATGAGTCACCTTTGATAGGAAGAACAGAACCTATTAATTCTGGTTTTATCTGGGGTTTGAAATAATGACAGATTACACCATGAGAATAAGAGTGTATCAAAAGACCCCAAAACTATGAAGATGGCAACATTTCCATTGACGAATTTTACATACATTTTCAATCACTTTTAAAGATTCCTCCATTTTTTAACCAGCAGGGGTTAACAATTTAAATTAGCATTTATCTGCATTTTTTCCTCATTTTTCTAACCTGCTTAATCAAGCTGTCTATAATTGATCAAAAACACACTTTTAAAGTAGTCTAGCATTAAGACAGGTCTCCTAGTTAATTCCAAAATAAAGAAGCTTTAACTGGAGCTAGTTCTTCTTCCTTCAAATAAACTATGAACAATAACACAACTTGGTCAGCAAAATTACTGTTTTTTCCAAAGCACGTACAAAGGGACTTTACTCTCACCTCTCCCCAGCTGCCATAAGTCCACTGCGGACACGGGCCGGACTCGCAGGCTCTTTGCTCATCCGGTTTGATTCTCTCCACACAGTCACTTGCGGGGTATCCGTTCTCATCCTGACATACAACGACACGCCGCTGGGACCCGCCAGCACAGGTACTAGAACACTGAACACATCAGACATCAGTCAACAGATCAATCCTCATCTCGATTTCCATTTTAGGATCATAAAAAACAGCTGATGGGAAGGTCAGAGGCAAGTAGGGCAGAAACTGTTCACAATGGACAGAAAGCAATTGTGAGAACTTCCCTTCTGTGAGGTTGTTTAATGTGCAAGTCTTAAAATAAATACCCCGAGGGCAGAAACGTGCTTCTCCTTTGCATGCGTTAGGCCTTGAGCAGGTGTCCGATAAATGTCCAATGGACATTTATAAACCTTTATTTATACATGTCAGTGTTCAGTACGTGTCTATGAGTGATAATGTGCTGTGGTTTCCAAAGCAGCCTTATTTATGCTCCTCCTTTATCTTCTCCTGGCCTCTGACAGGTGCACAGGTGTGGACTGACCCCACAGTCTACTGAGAAAGTCTTTTCTTTCCAAAACTCCAAGTGCTCATTTAGAACCAACTTGGGGCTTCCCTTACAGCACGGGAGTCAAATGACATGCTTAACGAATAGCCAGTTGTGGAAACGAAGCTTTCATGTTAACTCATTCACTTACATAGAGCACCACTTAGACATCAGTTTCTCACAAGTCATGTTCCCATCTCTCCCTTCATAATAGGGTCTGCTTTCCTGGCGGATGGTAGCAAGGTTTGTTTCCTTCCTTACTTCTATTTCCCAATGAACCCCCTTGAATTCCATAGGGACCAACCTCTCTCCGGATGGAGGCTCAGTCTAGCACTCCCTCTCATGGTTGTTCCTAGAATTATGTTTGCATTGCAGCTAGGTTCCCACGCGGGCTTCTCATAGCTCTCTTATTTATCTACAACTTCAGTGTGTTTTTCTTCTCATAACTTCGTTATCTTTTGAAACCCATGTGTTTGCTAGTATCCTTCACTCTGACCCCTAACAGTTTGCCTATGTGATAACCATCTAGTCCTCAGAGCAAAGCAATTCCCACGAGTTACCATCTCCAATGCATTTGCAACAATGTTTTGAGTTCCGGGTTCTGGTGGCTGACTTGTGCTTTCTATCAAACCTCAGCCCACACCTGCGTTATTTCAAAATACCTGCCAATACTGCTTCTTGCTGGTCAGCTTTTTCTTATAACGATGTGAATGTACTTTGCTTATTCCATTGGACCTCAGTTCAATTTCCTTACCTATGCTTGTTAAAATATGAGTGGCTTAAAAATATATTGGGTTTAATTTTAAAACATGTATAAAGGAAGAAAATAGATTTATGAATTCTGTCTGAGAAAATATTTAGGTAATTTTTGATTACCTAAATTTTTGAATGTTTTAAAATATTCTACCTCTATGTTCAGATGGTCTGGTACACTTACTCTAAACTTGAAAATATCTGTTTTCTACTTTTTAAACAGCTCAATCCATAATAAAAAACACAGAGAACTATTATTTTAATTAGCTTTGTTTGGGGACGAGAATTTAAAATGTTTGGGAGGCTCTTCCATATGTAAATAGTTTTGGGATATATCTTCTGGCCCTTGAATTTTTCCCTTCATAATAAAATCTTGTATCATTCCTTTATTAAGCCTCCTGTGAGTGTTATGGCCCCACAAAATGGTCAACTCCTCGAGGGAGGGCTCAATGGCATCACGCACATCCCTGTGACTCCCACGACACTGGTCTCAGGTTTTATTGCTGGTTCCATTCACATTTCTGGAATCGATACCTCTATAAGCCACAGGCTACCCCCTTCAATACAGCCCAGGGGAGCAAGGACGGGTCCCTCATTTATAGCTCCATTGGCCAATCAGATGCTTCCTCCTGAGGCTCTGAAGGAAAGGTGGAGAGAGTGCTCCTCGGGGGCCAAGCAATTGAACCGCCCAGCCCTGAAATCACACCGCACATTTCCAAACCCAGGGCGGGCTTGGGTCTGTCTCCTCCCACACACACGTGGAGTGTTGCCCGGGAACAGTGCCCAGGTTGCAGAATTTCTTGTGGCCCCTCTTTTGTTAACAAGTTTCCTATTCTCTTTAGATGACATATTTTTCTAGGTAGATGTTGAACAAAGCCCTGCTCCTATTATCCCCACTACACAAAACAAGGAAAAATGGCCTTTAGAAAACCAAGAGGTAGGAACATCTTACCTGGGGGCCATGTATTTCCCCTGCAGCACAACTCTCTTGTAAGGCCTGTCTATTAAGATACTCTGCCCATCCCTGGTCAAGCTGTAAGTGGAACAAGCTGGACCAATCAGACTCACCTGGGAATTTGAATACTGAGTAGAGTAACTCAAGGGTGGTTCAGAGGTGAAAGGGATTCATTAAGACAGAATCCCCTTAAAGAAGTTATTCTTTAGTTACTGGTCCAGCTAGATCAGGATTTGGCAAACCCCAGCCCGAGGGCCAAATCGAGGGCCAAATCTGGCCTGCCACCTGTTTTTATAAATAAAGTTTTATTGAAAAACAGCCATGCCTGCCCATGTATTGTCTGTGCCTGCTTTTGCGCTGCTACAGCAGCAGAGCTGGTTAGTTGTGTCAGAGACTGTATGGTCCACAGAGATAAAAATGTCACTAGCTGGCCCTTCGCAGAAGAAAACTGCCAAACCCTGAGCTAGATCCCCGAAGGTGCTCGGGTCCCTGCTTGTGCTGGGGCTAAGTGAATGCTTTTACTTGAGTCAGTTTTTGTTTATTTTGCTTGCAACCAGAGACCCCTAATTGAGAGCACACAGAAAACCTCACACAGGGTTTGTGAAATCGAGTGTAAAACGAGGTCCTTACTCTAGAATCAAGTATAAACTTGACATTCCCATTCTCTCGTGTCCATGATTCTTCGCTGCCTTTTCTGCCACGGAGGCAGGAAGACCCCCGCACACTCCTGAGAGGAGGTCAGGCAGCACAGGCCGGCCTGAAAAATCATGGTCCTTAACTTAGAAAAAAATCCCCGAACAAAAAACAGGCACACTGGGGGGAAGAATGGTGCTGCCCACTGCTGCAAAAAGGTTACCTAATCCTCCCTAATTGGGAACTCTGCCCAGGGCAGAAGCATTCAGTCTGAAAGGAATGCACTTTCCCAAATGCAGTCCCAAATAAGAACAGCTGTCAAATGTTTTTTAAAACTTCCTAGTGCTCTCCTTAGAACACACATGCATGCGTTCCGTACTCTTCAATCAGAAAAACTGTGGGACACCCTGTGGTTACCTCTCTTAGTCACCCTTTGATTCCCTTCTGAGCCAGGCGAAGGGAGACAAGCAGGAAGCAAGCCAGGCGCAGGAGATGGCAAAGGTCCAGCCACTTGGCCGAGAGACAACCTACACTCGCAAATGTGCCGCGGCTGATCAGAAATCCCGGAGCGTCGGTGTGACTCCCTGAACAACCACGTGAGAAACAGACAGCCTCCTTCTAATCCTTTTTAGTCCACACATAATTATACACAATTAGCAGGACTAGAAGGAAACGTAGCAAATCATTAAAAAGAAGACCCCGAGTGACGGGTAAGCCCTGGCTCTGCAGGCCGTGCTTCCTGGCTCCCTGTGGTTTCATGAGACATGGCCAGTAACCACAATGTAATCTCTTTTTTTTTGGAAAATCATTTAGTAAAAAATAAAACATTCCAAAGCATATCTTTTCTTTGAATACTGGCTATTTTTCAAGGTCTCCTCAATTTGAAGGACAATGGTAATAATAAAGATGATTGCTGACATCTATTGAGGTCTCCCTCTGTGGCATGCAGAGTGCCAAGCACTTTATTGGCATGGTTGCATTTGATTCTTACAGCCCAGCAAAGCCAGAATGATGGTTCACTTTGTTTTACAGATGAGGAAACAGGCTCGAAGAGTATGCTACTTCCCCTTTCAGCTCAGATTTCACCCGGCCTCGTGTGTCACCCACCCCTCACTCAGGACAATGATCTACTGCCACATGCTCTGACACCTCACGGGTCTGGGAAATAGCGAAAAGGAAAATGAGGCTCGCGAAGCGCTCCAAAAAGTGCCTCTGCCCCTTTAACGCCCCCAGGCTCCGGCATCACGGCCTTCACAGTGCCTTCTTGAGGCCACTGCACTCAGCAGGGACACTCCCTTCTCCCCCCAAAGGGAGCTTGTGACACCTTCTCAGGGACTGCAATGAACCCACTGCAGTTCACCCCCAAAACAAGCGAAAATGCATGTCAGCCCTTGTGAGAAAAAATGCTCCAAAGGTGCTTCTAGTCCATGCCCCACTGCACCCCCAACACTGCCTCCAGTGGGAGATGAAGACAAATTAGGAAAAGCCTCAGTCATACTCACTGCTCCCCAGGGCCGGTCCTCCACTGGTTCCCCCCGAGCACGTGGGTCTGGCTGGGGCCGAGGCTCCTGGGGTGATAGCCCGCGTTCTGGAAAGGGTGCTGAGCAAGGCCCCGGTCTGGGGCCTGGCGCGGGCACGGTGGCAGCGAGCAGTCCTGCGCGGTTTCTGGGATATAATCTGAGTCACACTGGCTCTGATCAATCACGTGGTCACTGTAGTCCACACACATCACTTGCCGGGTCGTCCTACCGTGCCCACACGTCACGGAACACTAGAGGGAACGGTCGGGAGGAGAAGGGGTCAGTCACTCGGCAGTCAGGAATTCATGAATGTGCATGTTTTGTAAATTGCCCCCTCACCCAGTTGACCAGGTCAAAACCTTGGTGTCATCCTTGTCTCCTCCCTTTTCTTCCCACCCCATACCATTTCACTGAGAAATGATTTAGCTCAGAGGTCAAAACATAACCCCAGCCCAGCCACTTCTCACCACCTCCTCCATCACCTCTCTCGTCCAAGCCATCATCTGCCCTTGCCGGGACTACTGCAGTAGCTTTCTATGTGGGCTCCTGCTTATAACCTTGACCCTGTCCCCAGGTCTGCTATCTCTATATCACAAACAGTGACCCTTGCAAACAAAAGCCTGCCATGTCATGCCCTCCAGTGACTCTCCAATTCCTCATCCTGGCAGCTGACATGCCTCATCCCGGTCCCTTTCCCACAAGTGGCTGAGTACTGGGCGTTGGAGCAAAAGACTGTAGAAATGTTATTAGAATCAGCCGCTAGCTGGACAGCAATCCACTTTCTACGGTCATGTCAGAGAACGTCTTCTTCCCCGTTGGACATTAGTCAAGGTCCAAAGTCCTTACTTGAATTATGGACCCTTAGTGATACGGCCACCAGCTATCGCTTTGACGCACCTCCTATCACTCCCCACTCCCTGCGTTCCAGCCAAATGGCCTTTTGGATGCTTCGTTAACCCGCCAAGGACACGCACATCTCAGGCCAGTGCACCTGCTGTACCACGAGCACCCACGTGGCTTACTCCCTCATTCCCTCAGTCCTGCTCAATCAACGTCAGTCCTTTCCCGACCACCTTGTCTGAGAGCACGTCCCAGCTTTCTCTAGGCCATTCCTCTGCTAAAGTATCCCTGCACTTACCAGTATCACTCCCTGTTCTATATCATATACCTATTTCTCATTTTCTCAGTGATTGAAATAATCTCCATGAAGGCAAGGACTTTATTATTGGTTGTTCACTGCTCTTTGTACAGTGAGCTTTAACAAATAACTGCTGGTAAACAGTTGTATCCGACGTATGTATGTATGTTTGGAGACTCAAAGAATGAGGATGAGATTATCTATCATTTATTGAGCACTACTTTGTGCTACATATTTGAACATATATAATCTCAAATAATTCCCACCACAACCTTGAAGGTAGGTATTTTTTGGTCTTCTTTGAAGAGCAGAAGAAACTAAGGCTCCAGGTCTTTAACCAGACAGCTCAAGGTCATGCAGCCAGTAAATGACAACGTCTGGATGCTTACACAGCTCTGTCTGAATCTACCTCTCAAATTTTATATACATTATGATATCTTTGACATATTAGCCTTCGTTTTCCTCCTGATGTCTCCTTGCCTATCCTCAGTTTTGTATTTCCTGGACTCGCCTATCCTCAGTTTGTATTTCCTGGACCCTGGTTTTGACAAGGCAGAAAGCAGAAGCTGCCTGAAGACAAAGTTTTTTTTACTTTGGAAAATCCCGTCGATGGTGCCTGGTGTGCACGGGGGCCAGGTCGCAGTCCCGGAGGAGGGGTCTCACTGCCTGCTCTTGGCAGGGAAGCCCAGAGCCACTGGCCTCCAAGGGACCGCAGGATGCAGGAGGCACCCAGACATCGCCCTTTGGGTCCCATACACACCTAGGACATTCTGATGTGACTGGTTTCCATTCAGCCCCACCGGAGAGGGGCTTGTGTCCATTGTAAATTGATTTACATGTTTTTTTTAAATGTGCATTTCTTGTACACCTGGCTAAGATTTACACCAGCTGCACATATATGAAGCACAACAAGTGAAATCACAATCTAAGTCCAATTCTAAAATATTACCCATCGACATCTGAGACCTCCTATTAGTTCCCCCATTACTGCTCCCCAATCCTTCCCCAGTCCCCAAATTCTCTCGCTTACAGGGCTCCAGTCCAAAGCCTTCCACTGGCCACAGGGGGTCCCCACACATTCCTCCTCTGCCAGTGGTCGCGGCAGGGCCTGGCAGGCGCTCTCGTCAGCCACGGAGCCGTCCTCTTCCCGGCAGCTGACATACCTCATCCGGGTCCCCTTCCCACAGGTGGCTGAGCACTGGGTGTTGGAGAAAAATCATGCAGAGATGTTACTGGAGGCGGTCGCTACCTGGACAGTGATCCACTTTCCATGGTCATGTCAGAGAGCACCTTCCCCCCGCCACCCTCCAGCTCCTCCCACCGGATTTCTTACTGGAGTCCAAGACCCAAATCGCCACTGGGTTCTTGGGGCACCGTGCGTGTTCCTCCTTGCTTCGGGGGCAGCCGGCGGAGGGTGACAAGGTGGCAATTCGCAGTCCTAGATGTGAGAAGGGGGGACACCAGTTACCTTTACGTCAGTGCACTCTTTCATGGCATGGCAAAGAAAAATAGAAAAACTGAAAATTCTAACACTTCAGATTTGTGTGTGATTTTGAGAGATATCAAGTAACATGCTATCTGTCAGCACCAATTTCTTTTTTTAAAAAAACTTTAAAAAAATCATTGATTTATGGAAAGAGTGAAAAGGGGGGGGTGGGAGATAAAAAGAGAGAGAAAGAGAAAAACATCAATGTAACAGGGAAACATCGATTGGCTGCCTCCCATATGCATCCTGACTGGGGATTGAACCCGTGACCTTTCAGTGAACTGGATAGAACTCCAATCAACTGAGCCGCACTGGCCAAGGCCAGCCCCAATTTCGTTAACTATAAATGGAATATAATTTGAGTCAATTTGTGGGTGCCTTTTAGGGGTCTACTTAATGATTTTAATACCATATTTACTAACCTGTTCAAGTGGAAAGAGGAAAAAATATTGTAAAATGGCAGATAAGTTGGGAAAGAGCAGAATATCCTTTTAAAATGATCAATTGTTAATTTTTCAAAATTCTGAAGGCCAAACGTTGTTCCCAAACTTCAATTAGTTTCCTCATCAGAATTCGCTGATCATGAGCATGTTTTTGTGTAGAGAGATATATGTTTGCACATGCACATATATGCTTCTTATAAATTTTACTGATATAAAGGATATGCAGCATACAATTTACAAATAACAATAAAGTATAGAATTCTTCATTTAAAATTCCATACAGTCAATTGATTCTCACAGAATAGTTTTGATGATTTTTGCTAAACTCTGCAATCTGTTGACAAACTATGGTTGTAATTGCCAGACAAGTGTAGTTTTGACATAAATGTTAGTTGGTGTTTTGTTTACTTTTAAGCATAAGGTGAAAGTGAAACAATAAAGATGTATGTACAAACTTGGCTCATTCACCAATGACATAAACGATTTCTTTGCTAAACCAGATAGTGATTTTCAAATACCGGAAAAATATTTTTTTAATTTTTGTGCTATTCATAATGTATCAGATACAGACACTAGACTATTTAAGTTTTATTTGCATGATTGCTATTTTCTCCATTACCTTCTTACATCTAAACAATCAACAAAACAGTGAATAAAACCCTGGAATATGTAGTATTTGCTGACTTCTGTGCTGTAAATACTCTCACAAAGGCTAGTCCAAGCCACCAACTTGATGTCAAGTTGGGCAGAGATATACAGTAGCCGTTGTTATACAGTATTTCCAGCACACAGACACACGCAGAACCTCAAGAGCACAGTCGATAGTGAAATGCAGGAACAAGCCAGCACCAGGACCTGCTGCCTGAACATACAACACTATTTGCTGAACCTTACATTGAAAATAGCATCACACAATCAACATTTGCCATCCATTAAGAATCAGAATCAAACCTACATACATTTCAAATGACCAGAGAAGAACAAAACTGGTACATCAAAATACTAGATTAAAAATGTAACAAATAAGTAAATCCAGAACAATTTAATCAACGGTTTTCTCTACCTACATATTTACCTATGAAAAGACTTGCCTATGAAAAGAACCTCTAGGAAATTTTGGCATCTCAGTGCCCAAAGCCAATAAGGGAGTTGAACGAAGGAGACTCACCTGGACCTCAGCTGGTCTAGCTGCTGCGTTGCAGACATTGACATCCACCACTGACACGCCATAGGTCCCAACGATGCATTGCACCACTCTGTGCTGGTATCCCCGTCCACAAGTGACACTGCACTGGGGGAAAGAAACAAAACACAAGTATATACAATTCAGCAACATTTCTTTCGCTTACTTTCCACATAACATTCTACAAGAGAAAAAGTAGTTCCATCACTGTGGGCCAGAGTGTAGGCACCCAAAGAAATTAGGTAAAGGTAGGCAATCCTGCTTTGTACAAATTATCATAACACTTGAAATTATTTCTATCTCCATTGAAATTATATCTGTAGGAGTTCAGTTCCTTAACTGTGAACCGTGGAAAAAGAAGAGTACATTTCAATAATTTTTACACCTTTCACACTATAGTTACCAGAACCATGAAAAATAGTATGGTAAGTCCTCAAAGAATTTAATATAGCAATTCCTCTTTTGGGTATATATCCAAAATAATTGGAGCAGAGTCTCAAAGAGAGATTAATATACTCACATGTTTATAGCAGCATTAGTCACAATAGCCAAAAAATGAAAGCAACCCAAGTGTCCTTCAACAGATGAACGCATAAGCAAAGTGTGATACATACTTACAATGGATTGCTATTCAGCCTTAAAACTTTTAGGAAGAAAATGATGATACTATGCCAATGAAATAATCCAGTCCCAATAGGACAAATAATAATGATTCTACTTCCAGAGGCATCCAGAATAGTCAAATGCACAGAGAAAGTTGACTAGTGGTTGCCAGGGGCTGGGTGGAGGGCAAATGGGCAGTTAATTAATGGGTAGAGTTTTTTTTTTAATTTAATTCTCACCCAAGGATATTTTTTTATTGATTTGAGAAAGGGATAGAGAGAAACATTGATGTGAGAAAGAAATATTAATTGGTTGCCACCTGTATGTATGCTCCCCAAGTGGGGATTGAGCCCTACAACCTTTTGGTGTATGGGCTGATGCTCCAACCAACTGAGCCACCTGGCCAGGGCAATGGGTAGAGTTTTCGTTTTGCAAGAGGAAAAGTTCTGGATATTGGTTGCACAGCGATGTAAATATACTCAAGACTATTGAACTATACACTTACAAATGGTTAGGATGGTAAATTTTATGTTATCTGTATTTTACCACAATTACAAAATTTTAAATAATGGGATAAGGACTTGAATAGACATTTTTCCAAAGAATATATACAAATGGCCAACAAGCTCATGAAAAGATGGTCAACAAGTCCTTAGGGAAATACAAGTCAACACCTTAGGTGTCATAATTAAAAAGTGGGAAAATAAGAAGTGTTGGCAAGGATGTAGATAAACTGGAACCTTTGTGTATTACTGGTAGAAATGTAAAAGGGTGCAGGTTCTGTGGAAACCTGGTGGTTAAAACGTTAAACCCAGAATGATCACATAACTTATCAACACTACTCTTAGGTATATACCCCAAAGAATTGAAATCAGGTACTAAAAGAACACTCATTCATAGCAGCACTATTCACAATATCCAAGATGTGTGAATAACCCAAATATCCAATGAGGGATGACTGAATAAACAAGCATGGTATATCCACACAATGGAATATTACACAGCCATAAAAAGGAACAGAGTAAAGAGGTGTGTTACAATGTGGGTCACCCCTAAAAACATTATGCTATGTAAAAGAGCCAGACACAAAAGGTCCAATATTGCATGATCCCATTTATATGAAATACTTAGAATAAATAAATACATGGAGGCAGAAAGCAGACTGTGGGCTCCAGGGGCTCCAGGGAGGAGTAATCAGGGAGTAACTGCTCAGTGAGTGTTCTGGGGGCCATGAGAATGTTCTGGAAGTAGACACAGGTGGTGGTTGCACACTATGAACGCACTAAATGACACTGACTTGTTCACTTTAAAGTGGTTAATTTTGTACATGAATTTTACTTCAATTAAAAACACCCAAGTCTAATCTTAATATTACAAAAATACTTCTTATAAAAATATTATAAGAAAATCATATACATATTAATAATGTAATCTCTGCAATGCAGAGTTAGAAGTATGTTTGGTTTTCTTCTTTTTGCTAAATAACATTTAGCAAAATTATTCTTATGAACAGGCATGAGTCTTAAACAATATTTTAAAAAACAATATTCTGTTACCCTGAATTGCATGTTCAGGCAAAGGAAGATCAAATTTCTAGCTAGGATTGGTCTGGTGTGGACAGGAGTAAAAACAGGTCCAGCAGTTCTAACAGATGTTATCTTCCAATCTTACCAGCGACCCTGAGCTGTGCATCTTTCCTCTGAGGACTCCCTAAGAGTTATGTGGATGGAGACAAAAAGGAGGCGAGATTAGAGGTGGGCGTGGACGCTCCCTGTGTATGCAGAGTGATCAGCCATGTTTTGACTGGGGACGCTGGGCGATGGGGAGCATTTGGAAGCGTGTCGATGCTAATGACAGAAACCGCAGGCATGGAAACGAAGATGTCAGCTGGAGGGATGAAGTGGCTGAAGCTGGGGCTGGACCGCGCGGAAGGTGAGTCATTCTTTAAGATATTACGTAAGTGACAGCAGACAGCTGTTTTGCTTCCCCTGGGAACCCAGAGAGCTACTGAAATAGGACCAGAATGCTTTTTGCTTCCATATTGGGAAGGACTTAATCTCAAGAGCAGTGGCTTCTCCACTGCAAGCGCCAGGGAGACTTCCACTGTCTCCTTTAAGAGCAGGTCTAGTCAAGAGTTAAAACCCACTCGGAAGAGATTCTTGCAAAGCGAGATGATTCTGCAGCCTCTGACCTGACGAATCTGTTTGAACAGTCTGACTTACTTAGGAGAGGTGAGCTTTGGAAACACGACAAGGGGAGCCACAATGTCCCATCCAAATCCCCCTCCAGACCCTTCTGCCTAAGATGCTGGGGCTGGGCCCTTTTTCTGTGACAGACACACAGGACACAGGAGAGGACAACAGCTGCCAGACTCCTGATCTGTTGTGACAAGTTCCAATGCTCGTGTCTCAATCTGGTTTTAATCCCAGACAGTAGACAGGCACGTGGGTCTGTCCAGGGGACAGTCGGCTGCAGGAGGGCCAGGGCAACCCTGGGAAGTGGGGTAAAATGGGTGCAGAGTTTCTCCTGCTGGGCCCAGAGCACAAAGGCCCAGGGCAGTCAGACCCAGCGGCGAGGTCTGCCGTTGGCATGCCCGCTGTAAGCGCTCTCCAGGTGAAAGGAAAGAATGCAGTTAAGAACTTTATCTTTGAAATACCTGTCCCCAGGGACCCGCCTGCCAGGACGCACATTCTGGCTGCTGACAGGTCTGCACGGAGGCTGGCTTGGTCTGAGGGTCACAGATTCTGTCGTCTAATTGATCTTCACCGAACTGACACCAGACCTGCCGGTGCTTGTGCCCTTCCCCGCAGGTGACCAAGCACTGCAACGAAAGCACAGCCAGTCAGGCCCACTTCTCAGCACCTGTGGGGTCCCGGGCCACTCCTGACCAGCAGGAACAGGAGTGCTCTTTCCCACAGCAATTCCTCTCTCTCAGCACCCTGAGAGATAGGGAGGCTCATTCACTCATTCATTCATTCATTCATTCATTCATTCACTCTGTATTTATACAGATTCCAGAAGAAACTTGACACAGCATTATGCTCTGAAGCAGGGGTCCTCAAACTTTTTAAGCAGGGGGCCAGTTCACTGTCCCTCAGACCGTTGGAAGGCCAGACTATAGTTAAAAAAAAAAAACTATGAACAAATTCCTATGCACACTGCACATATCTTATTTTGAAGTAAAAAAACAAAACGGGAACAAATACAATATTTGTATTTGCATGTGGCCCGCGGGCCGTAGTTTGAGGACCCCTGCTCTGAAGTATTGAAGAGCAGCATTCACAGTTTTCTAGCGAGGGAGTTAAGTGTGGGGAATTGAGTCCGACCAACCTGGGTTTTAATTCAGAGGTCAAGTGACCTCTGTACCTCAGTTTCTCATCTGTACCAGGGGGACAATAGTGCCTACTGCCAAGACTTGTGAAAACTAAGTGAAAACAAACCCAACTAAAGTGCTTACCCCATGTTTATCTAGTAAATCTATACTAATAATAGAGGAACATGCAAATTGTCTGGTACACAGTCACAGTAACAACCAAACAGGAGGCTGCATGGGGCGACAAGGCTGGCAGGAGTGTTAGTGAGGGACGACCAAACTACTGAACAGCAGGCTGCATGGGGTGACCAGGCTGGCAGGGGGGTTAGTGAGGGACGACCAAATGACTGAACAGCAGGCTTTGTGGGACGACCAGGCCAGCAGGGTGGGCAGTTGGGGG